AATTAATCATTTAATTAATAGACGGAAATCCCCCTTTAAACATTTCACAGAATGACAAATTACAGGCGAGGATGTCAGTTGCGAAAAAAATCTGTCTTAATTTCTTTGTCATATCAATCATGAGTTTACATTAGACCCATGTACGGCAAGGTTGGAAGGCAAAACTTTAAACCAGACCTAAATACCTTAGTTTAAATTGGACCTCGTTCGGTACCGGTAAAATTAATTAAAGATAAAGAACAGGACGTCAACGATCTCTACAAGTCTGTTTGTTTCTCAGCGTACTCGATACACCAACAAAATGTGGACTGAATTAGCTATCATTTGTTTAATAGGTAAGTTCTAATTTGATAATCCCCACCCCTGGGCATCTGTAGGGCAAAGGCAGTGCGTAAATGCCTGAGGTGGAGCCACAGGAGAGCCCGTCTTCATTAGCCCACACGGTGAAAGGTAGGACGTAAAACTCCATTCACTTTATTTCTGAGGCGCTGCCAGAGGCCCCCAAAAGCCAATAGATTTCAGATGGCCGCAGATGAATGAATTTTGAGCATTTAGAGGGCTTAATTTTCACTTCCAAATAACACCTATCACAGGCCCAAGGGAAAGGCCATGACCAAAATACGTTACTGGGCAAAGAGACTTTTCCGCTCTGGTTACACTTCTAATAACTTATTTGACCCAACACCACTATGCTGATTACGCAGTGTCGCACTTCCTTAATTCTGCACACAATTAACCCTACTATAAAATAACCGTTACTCCAAAACACTGATAAACCCAAGCTCAGCCAATCTGTAATAGTGTTCACAACAGAAACGGTTTTTTTTAAGCTAGGCTAAAACAGTAATAGTGTTCACAGCTCACCGTCGAAATTTTAGCCTTCAAAGCCATGAGTGTCTAGAATTATCCACGTAAGAAAGTTAAAGGCGACTCGTCATTTCTTGTGACTCTGTCATATATAAAACGATATACATAGAAAAAGAAAGTGAAATTCCAAGTTTCACGTATTTTTTAAGGGATTGTGCTATTTTAGTACATTTCTTGTACTTCTGAAGACTATTAACATATATTCAAGACCCAAATCAACCCCCGAAAACGGCGCATTAGTCCCTTTAAGTACAATTTGGTCAATTAATCAACATAATATAATTTCGTGTGTTATGTATACATCTTTTGACGTCAGTGCCAATTTTTATATGCACTCATATGGCACGAATTTCTACTTTGAGCACAAACTTATTTAATTCAAACCTGAACTAATTTGTATGGTAATTATTTGCACTAATTTTACACTAGATAATCTACGTACTTAAACATTAAAAGGCTATTAAGATGTATTGGAACCTATCATGTAATTGAGAAGTAGGCAAAGTTAGCTCACTCAGAAACGTTTCCTCTCATTTATGAGAATGAAAATGCTAATACTTACATGAATAGAAAGTAGAGGTGTTCTAATGACTTGGAAAAATATCAGTTTGTCTCACATGTCCATAATTAATTCATAATTAGCTAAATTAGAAGAGAATTACCAGCAGAATTCCAATGAGTGACCGATCACGAAAGGTCAAAAAGTATTTTTTTGTTTATCCAGACTGTACATTTATGGACATATATGTTTGGTTAAAACTCTTCATCATATGCAATAAGAAAATAATGATATGATTAAGAATACATGACAATTCATTAGAAACACCAATTAATCAAATAGTTTGCTTAATTTGACACTAAAAATAAGGAAACCCATCTTTAAAGGGATTGTAAAGATTTTTTCTAAAAAATTTATGTTTGTCGTGGACTATGATAGAATCAATTTGCACCATTCCAGTTTTCAATCAGATGTCTGTGGTTCCTGCAATTCCACAAAAAAATGTTTGATAACGTTACAAACCGCAAAATATGCTTTATCGCGTTAGGAACTTGCGATTAGTAACGTCATTAAACGCTTAGTTTTGGTGGAATTGCAGGAAACACAGGAAGTTTCCGTAAAGCTTAAACTTGCAGAGCGCTAGCGTAGCTTTCACGGAGGCCATTTGACATCAAATTGGCTGTAAACTGAGCGATTCGATGTATGAAGAATGAGATACAGATTTTTTCATTTTCTGGTTGTCGTTAGACAGGACAAATTGGTAATAAATACGAAATTCTTGTGGCTGACCATTGTTACTTGATTAATTAGTTGCGGGGAGCAGGTGGTTGTGACATCAATATCAATAATGAATAATTACTATTACTAACAACATCATTTGCAGCATGACAGGCACTTAAGGCTTTGTTGACTTTAAAGGAATACTAGAATGGATGCGCGAGAGGGAGGGTGTTTCTTTTTAAAGATGGGTATCCTTGTTTTTTAGTGTCAAATTAAGCAAACTATTTGATTAATTGGTGTTTTTAATGAATTATCATGTATTCTTAATCATATCATTATTTTCTTATTGTATATGATGAAGAGTTTTAACCAAACATATATGTCCATAAATGTACAGTCTGGATAAACAAAAAAATACTTTTTGACCTTTCGTGATCGGTCACTCATTGGAATTCTGCTGGTAATTCTCTTCTAATTTAGCTAATTATGAATTAATTATACAAACTGGTATTTTTCCAAGTCATTAGCATAAATGGAAATAAGGGAACCCATCTTTAATTATATTTTAATTTTTATTCTATTTCATTCAAACCATATCTATTTCATTTCGTTTCAGTTACTCTTTCATTTCATTCAAACTGTATCTATTTCATTTCAATTCATAGTCATAACTAACCACCTCCTACCCCGATTTCTTTTCGATTTTACATCAATTCCATTTCCATGTTATATCAATTTCCATCTCTCTATTTTATTTTCACTTCATTTTCAATTCCATTTTTGTTTATTCAAAATATATAGATTTCATTTCAATTCATGTTAAAACTATTGCCCTACCCACAACTCCCATTTCTTTTCCATTTCATATCAATTCTATTTTCATTTTAAATTAATTTCCAATTACTTTTTATTTTTAATTCTATTTCTTTTCGATTCAAATCATAAATCTCCCCTCCTCCCAATTTTATTTTCGTTTTAGGTCAGTTCCATTTCCATTTTACGTCTATTTAATTTTTTTTACTTCATTTTCAATTATATTTTTTTCCATTTTCCTTCCCACTTCATATCCATTTAATTTCAATTGTTGTTGAATTTAACATTATTTTTTCTCTGTAGACTTGATAATTTTTCTCGCAATAAAAGATTATAATAACCTATTTTAACTTGTCGTTCTGACCTACATATTACTTGTATCAATGGGCCTATTCGGTTGGTTTCACTCACCAGGACGTATTCTAGTTTACGATAAAGGGTTCAATCCATACATAGGTCGAGATAATACCTTCGGATTTTTCAACCCAGTTTCCCCCCTATTAGTGATGCAGGTCGGAGGGGCTGGCATGGAAAAAGCGTCTTGTCGTTCGGGTGGGACAATAAACAGAGGCCCTGTGTGCTACAGGCTGTGTACATTAAAGTTGTATCCAAAATCGAAAAAGAATAGTCTAATACCATTGTCCTGGCAAAATTTCCCTCATTGCACTCTGTATGGCGTTGCCCGTCTTCATTAGCACACATGGTGCAGAAGAGTAGTGCGTAAAACTCCATTCACTTCATTTCATTTTGTTTACTATGGAAACTAAGCAAGTATATGAACGAATAAACGAACTCATTGATTTGGAGAAAGTTTTGGGAATCTCTTCCGATTTTCGTCATTTCATTAAAGGGACAGATTCGCCATTTTTTGTACCAATCTTAGTCTCAGAAACGGGAATTTATTTAAGCTAAGCTAATCAGTAAAAGTGTTCACAGCTCACCGTCGAAACTTAAGCTTTGTCCAAGTTTGAAAGTTTTAGTGACGACTCGTCTTTTCTTTAAACTCTGCAATATATAGAAATTGAAAGATAAATTTCTAGTTCGAGGTATTTTTGAAGGAATTATGCGATTTTCGTACATTTCTAGTACTTCTGAAGACTAATTTCAAATATTCTAGACCCAAATCGAAGCACCAAAATATCATAACAGTCCCTTTAAAAACTATTTTTCACTATTAAATTTGATTATTAAAGAAATATAATAATTTGAACAGGTGTATCGACGTCATCGACACTTTCTGCCACTTTTATCAGACAAGTGTAATTTCAAACTAATTCAAGTCGAAATGTCGACTGGGTTCAGTGCACATGAACGTACTCGATTTGGCACGTTCGACATTCAATGGCCGTGAAAGATAAGTATTTAAAGACGATTGTCTACCGTTTTGAAAAAAAATAATCACGCTATTTGATCTAAAAGAAATAAATAAAAGAAATTAAAATAAGAAATTTGTCGTCTGTTTTGATGTATGACATCATACGGAAGTTAGTGGGCGGAATGTCAAAATAAATTTAGCCATGATCTATTTAATAAAAATTATTGGGTCAGAAGTGCGCATTTCAAATTCAAATTACCTGTCCGGAAATTAGATTAATAGGTGTGTTTGTGGAGGGGGGCTAATCTAGAAACCGGATTGTAAGTTATTAAGAGCCCTTCGTATACACTTCAAAACATTGAATTTGCTACCTGAGTTCCGGCTTTATTGTTTCTAACGACTACATCGAGAGGAACGTCCTTATGAATAATCCATATCCAAAACCAAAGCCAATTTCTTCTTAAAGAGATTGTAAAGAGGTTTTCTAAATTTTGTATGTGTATCGGTGACACTGTTAGCATCAATATGCTCCATTATAATTTTCAATCAGACGCCTGTGTGGTTCCTGCAATTCCACTTAAACTAAGTGTCTGTTGACGTCACTTACCACAAAATATAATACTTTACCACAGACATATTAAAGGTCTTCGCGATTAATGACGTCATCTAACAATCAGTTTTAGTGGAATTGCAGCAACCACAGACGTCTGATTGAAAATTGGAATGATGCAAATTGATGCTATCAATGTCCCTGATACACATAAAAAAAAATCAAGAAAACCTCTTTACAATCTCTTTTATCAAAAGAGAGGGGTTAAAAGCTGTCGATTATAATTTGCCACATTGAGCATGGCAATGTGTTATCCCAAAAGCGCAGACAGAAGAAGGAAGTCAAGTTATTTATTTCCTTTCATTTATGAGAATAATAAAGGTTTTTAATTGGGTGAAATCTTCACATCGCGGTAAACATTGGGGGTTATTTAGAGGACGCAAGTGTTTACATTATTAAACTCTATACAGTCCAGCTAAGATACGGGGCTCATCCGGGTCCTCATCAAAACATCAACACGAAAAGTCCATTTTATTTTTGGTGTAGAAAAAACAAAAAGAGGCTTAACAGACAAGAAATGAAATGAAATGAATGGGGTTTTGCGTCCTACACTTCTGCACCTTATTGGGCTAAAAGGACGGACAACGCCATGCAGTGTGCAATTTTGTCAGGACAGCGGCATCAGTCTGCTCTTTTTTCTCTGAGCCACCGCGGTTTGCCTTTTTCGTAAGGTGCGCATATGTATTTATGTAGCTTAAGGGTGGGTTTTAAATCCCAACCGCTAATAAATAACTAATATATATTTTAAGAATTGCAGATTTCATACTTCTAAAATAGTCGAAACATTTTCAATTTTGGGGAAATTTTGAATTATCAAACTTATTTGATATTATAATTTTGTCGTGGAAGCACGGGCATGCGCGAGATTTTCCTCCAGATTCGGGCCGGCGACAAAAATCTCAGACTAAGATCGCTTGTGTGTCAACACCTTTAACGTTTACAGGTTAAATCGTTGATAAGTCACAAAATTTACGACCTTACACCTCACCGGTCGGCTTGATAGATACTATATATACCATCTACCTTGCATTCCATGCAGTTCCCCTACAATTAGTAGACAACGAGTTGGATTGGCTATTAGTTGCCGAGGGTTCGAATCCTTCTCAAACTAAGAAAAATTCTGATGCCGGTGCCAGTGCCATTTCACCCCATAATACCTACAATTAGTTATAACAGCATGCGGCATTAATCTGTTTGGCATAACGAACTCAGCTGATGGAGAGACTAAGGTCTGGAGTAGAAATGAAAGGGGCAGAGCTTAAGGGGATTAGGATTAGGGGGATTAACAGAAAGTTGTTGTTTTAATTAACTTTGATCTACACTCTAGTAATTTTGTTGTTTTAAGGAAGACGTGTCAATGTGGTCAACTCTTAGACACCTTCAGGCACTTTCCTATCAAAACACCTATATCCTGTTGATTCCTTTGTCCTTTCCGACCTTTATTTTTAGGGCAATCTAATTTTTTGAACAAAAGGTAAACTGAATGAATTAAAAATAATCAGGTAGGCCCGATTAACAACGTGCTAGCCAATGGAGCGTTAAGTTTATACGTCACGTTATAAAAGCTATATATATCGAGATAGTGGTATATATTTTCATTCATAGCGATTATCTACCTCAACGCTTTAACAGTTATCAGTAGTGAAATCCAACGGTGTAATCCTCAAGAAGTTAAATATAAGAAGAAAAAGTTATTTCTGAATTTTTAAGTTATATTCTGTGAAAAAGAAAAAGCCGCTAGAAAATGTTTTTCCCTCAGTTTATCCTACAGATGCTACGTAAGTTTTATTAGAATTTATTCACCAATTTCATCGATTTGAAATATTTCAGAACTTCAAATACTGTAATTCTATTAGTTGAAATTCAGATGAAATTATTCAGATAGTGAATTTCTCGTCATGAATAACCGAATCCGGCCTTGACGAACTCTTTTTCGGGGTGACGATAGGTGTTCTGAAGCGTTTTAAATCTTAAAGCCGTTTTCTTAACGGGCCAATGAAATATAATTTGACATTCTACTGTTTTCTATTTGACTGGGCCAATGAAATATAATTTGACGTTCTACTGTTTTGTATTTTGGCTAATGAAATGAAATATAATCTGACGTTCTACTGTTTTGTATTTGACTGGGCCAATGAAATGAAATATAATTGACGT